CCATCTTGAAAACAAAGAAACAATTCCCAGTCACGGAAGCATCCTTCACATCCCATGGCGTTGCTATCTGGCAAAGTCCTTCAAGGCAGCCCCAGCCTGTCACAGTAACAGGCTTCAGAGCACAAACACCAAACAACACTGCTCGATCTGACCCAAGGGATGTTCATTCAGGTTCCTTACACAACTCCTGGCTGCATGCTGCAATGAGGACAAATGGATGCTTTCAACAGCACATTAGGTTGCTGAATGCTTTCTCACACAAGGCCACTTACTTCTTCCTTCAGCCCCAGGCACATGGACTGGCCTGCTGTCAGGAGGCTGCGGGGAGCAATGCTATGCACAGCCCAAAGGGCTGCTCTCGAAACAGTGCCTGGCCCATACAGCCAAAGAGCACAAGCCAGCCCCAGCTGCACAGGGAGACCTCTCCCATTTCCTACAGTAAGGGGACAGAGCAAGAAGTCCAGAGGAGGATCTTAAAGATCTCAACAGGCTTAGCCCAACGACCAGCCCAAAGTTGTGCCATCAGCTCTCTTCATTTACAGAAATACACAGGACTCCTCCGAAGCAGGGACAATCCCTCCCACGCTCGCAGAGGGGAAGAGGTTCAGTTTAGTAACTTTGGAAAGACTTGAGGACTCCTCTGGGGAAGGACTCAGAAACCAGTGATATCACATATTGATGCTTCACGCTGCAGCAGAGCCACATTTATCTACACCACTGGACTTCAAAGGCTCGTACCTACCTCAAGTGCCCCAAGCTGTAGTATCGTGACTCTCCATCCGTTGACCGAACTACCTTGACAGTGAACATGGGCTGCAGCTGCCGCAGCTCCAGCAGCACAATGGCCAGGTAGTGAATGAAGAGCAGAGCATCCACCAGAGACACCGCATACTGCACTATTCCTTGGTAGTTGGTGTCCTTCGAGTCCAAGATGCGAACGCCGTAAAAGAGCCAGTAGGAAAACACAAAGAGGAATATAAGGACCAACAGAAGGGCCCGAAACACAAACACCCTCGGTATATCTGCCTTGGGCTGGCGGAAAAACAGAGCCCAGGTCCCAATCAGGAGAATAAGGAGTTTGAACGCCACAGAGATGAAGAGTCCCTCACAGACAGTACCACACGGCTCCAGATCATCCCGCCACAGGATCTGCGGTAACAGAATGAAGGCGATGGGGGTAAGAAAGACAAGGAGTCCGAGAACAGCTGCCACTGTTAAGCCCAGGTAACGTTTGCAGTCCAACCCAACACTGTCCTCCAGATCCTTACTGATCCGAGCAATGTCCTCCTGGGAAATGCTGTGCTCAGAGGTGCCTGTGATCGCTGTCGTGGTCTCACCCCAGTTGTCATCCTGAGGGAGGAAGAGATAAACAAAAATAATATTGAAATAATCAGGTTATTCCTTCCAGGTCTTCTGTTTTTCTTGCCTGGAAAAAGATTGCTACAATAGACTTACATCCCGGGGGAGGCGGGAAGCAAACAACATCTTCAATACATTGAATAATCAACCCTGAAAATTAACAATGGTTTGGAAACAACAGCAACTTGTCCAAACCAGTGACTATAAACATTAGGTGTTAAAACCTGTAACTGTAGAGCAGGTAGCTCAACTTGCTATGCCACTCACTGTACCCCAGAGGTTCCTCTTCCAGCACACTTAACGAGTAATATCACATAACTCTTGGAAACTGCAGTAATCATCAGTTCCCATGCGCAGGGCAAGGACTAGCACTCTTCCAGCCCACAAATTCTGCGGTGCAAGTGTACCACAGAAGCACCTGGAAGGGGAACTTTCATTTCAGTGTTTCAAGCTAGTTGTTGTTACACAATCAAAAACATGTTGACACATTATTTTTTCATCAGTAGGAGAAGCAACCGCACTTCCAGCAAGTTCCTCTACTTTGTTTTCTTTTATTCTCCTCTACAGTATCACTGCCCTCAATAGCTGACATATTCTAATAAAATTTTAGTTAAACCAACTAATCACAAGTGATCAAAGAAGATATTTTCAGGTATGGGGCTTTAAATTTAGAGGATCCTAGGCAACCAAGCAGCTCTGGTATTCAAGTCTAGGACATTGTCAGAAGCCACTCAGCCGCAGAGAAGCTTACCTGAAATACAGTCGCCATATAGTCAAGCTTCAGATTACATTACATTTTCTGAAATTCACATTTCTTCCCTAGCTAACAGCAGAGGATTTCTCCAAACTAGTTCTCCCATCCCACGATGCCTCCAATTGCTCCTTCCTGGTGCTGGCACAGCCAAAGAGTTACACTGACATGTATGGATTTGACTCAGAGCTGCTGCTGGAGTGACTCATGCACATGAAGACTCCTGATGCTTCCCACAAAGGCACACCAAACAGTGGCAAGGCATGCGCTTTGCTGCTTGGCACCTGACACTTTTGTAGCTGCAACCCTCACTGAGAAGCACATGTTTTGCTCTTTCCTCCTACCGCCCTGAGTGTATCTTCCTGCAGCCTCTGTCACTAATAGGCTTTACACCTTCTCCCAGACTTCTGCAGCTACACACGCTGATCAAAGCATTTTGTTTTAAACAAACAGGTATTATTTTAAACATTTATTCACTTCTTTAAAAGAGTTGGAGGAAAGAGTCTTCAAGAATCTTTGGGAAAGGAGCAGACAGAGGCAGCAACAACTACTTTGAACAACTCCAGGGATTTAACTTCTAATGCACTCCAAGACAGGAATACCTCCCATGCCTAGAGCAGTAGGGTTTTGAGACAGACCAGCCACAAAGAGTCAGCATCTTGAATTAACATGAGGGGCTTTTGAGTCACTTCTCGCCAAAACAGAGGCCCCAGAAGAAATATCTGCATTGTAGTATGTCCTGATAGGCAGCATAATCCTATCACATTTCCTTCTTTGCCAGTGTCTCCAGTAAGCATTTCAACTATTTTATGTTTATGCATGAAATAGCTCTGCATAGTTTCCTCCATTTAATGAGCTGAGAAACTGTGCAGAAGAGAGAAGGGACAGAAACACCACAGCAGCTTAAGGCTACAGCCCAGAAGACAACAGGCAACTCTAGTCTCTGTCTACCCCTTACAACAGCTCTTCACACTTTAAGTGTCAAAAGCCAAAAAATACACAGTTATATGGAAATATGCATCTAAATCTCTAGTGGTACAAAATTGCTGGACCCAACCCAGGGCACCCTGCTCCCTAGAAGAAAAGTCTTGCTCATGTATCAACTTATTTTGCTTTGGCTTTAACTCACATTGATGAGGTCTGCAAGAAAACAGGGGCTTAAGAATTCACCAGCACTTTTAAATCTATTTGAAGTAATAGCTGGGACTCATGAAAACAAGCATCTGATGACAAAATACAATGGCAGTACATGAAGTGAGCCCACCTGCAGCTGCATGAGTACAGTTACAAGCACTGTCATACACAGTTTGGGTGGAAACTGGGCATGAATTTTTTTTTCTTTGAAAGGGCACAGGTGGAGCCCCACAGTCAAGAATTAACACACCCCAAATCCAGCCCAAGAGGTATTAAAACATCCTGCATTTTATGTCTCACAGCATCAGCCATTCTTTGAAAATAAACATGCACCTTCACATCAACTGCTAGAGCAGAGTACTGGATCCCTCCTAGGTGCAATCTAAACCCAGCATTATTCCATTCTTTATTTTATTTAACCCAGTGTTAACATAATAGCTTTCACTCTTTTACCAGCTATTTCACATTAATTTTATATTTCTTGCCTCCTTTCCCTGCTGGGATCCTGGTCCTAATGTGCTTTACACAATTACTTGGAGTAAATCCTGCTTAAAAACAAAAGTGCACATACAGGTGAAAGGGCTGACCTGAATAATGTAGAGAGATGATGGAAACAGATGTTTCTATAGAGCTTGGCAGATGATGCTCTGGAGACAGAGGCAAATTAGCGCCCCAGAGGTAGTCACATCAGCACTGGTGCTATCAAAAATAATGCTCTCAGAAAAAGACAAAACTGATTGAGACCTTGGCTTTATGCATCGATAGAGAGTACCCCAAGTTGTGATCCTTTACTAACAGCACATGGGCAACACTTTTTTCCTACTCATGTGCCAGCAAGTCATATGCTCTGTTCCAGAAACCACACTACGCATTTGCTTTCACTCCCTCCTTACCTGGCCCTCCTCTGCCCGAGAGGCATCGTTCCCAAGCAGTGGCTCTGCTGGAGGTGTCTGGATAGTGACAGACTTCTCAGACCGACTGCCATCTTTGCTTCGCGGCGATTTGTGCCTGTCCCGACTCCTTTTCCAAACAGAGGAAGAAGAGAACAACGTTACCAGAGTTTCTGCAGCAGGGCCTGCAGCCTGCTACATCTCTACCTCCAACAGGCATCCTAAGCATTAGGTTGTCCTAAGCATTAGGTTGTAGTCACTTGTGCCCATCTCTTCATCAACATTGACTCAATCTGTGACAAAAAAAGCTTTGGAAGAGGTAGAAAGGCACCTTGCCCAGAGGATCCTACAGCCTGGTGGCTGGGACATCCTACCCTCTCAGTGATTGGGAAGAGGAGCAAATGGGACAGGGGTACATCCCCACCACCTCATCTTATCTTAAAACACTTCTGCCAGTGCTGCACTTGAAAGGGAAGCTTGTGTTCTCCCAACAACTGGTAACTGCATTTGGGATTAATAATCTACAAAGCTCTTCAACTGCAATAAAGTGTCTCATAGGGTTATGCATAGTTAAAATTGATCAAGACTGCTTTAGTTCCTGCAAAGCAGAGTCTTGTCAACTAGGACCTTAACACTGTCAGACAATTGGTCAAGTTTATTTCCACTGGTTAATAAGCCCTAGTTAACCTCTTACAAAGGCAGCAAGAACATCAGGGGTACCAGGGTAGTGCTTACTTCCAGAGTAACCTTGTAGACCTCATGGCTTCTTGTCCGAGAATGTCTCAAGATGAGTGAAGCCTCACCAATATTTTCTTCTCCCTTCCTACCTGGACAGGAAAGCAGCCTTTGCACCAGAGACCCCCTCTGTGCTCAGGGAGCATCCAGTGTCCCAGCTCTGCTCTCTCCATTGCATCTCTCTTGGAATTACCAAAGCCCAACAGTTGCATGGTATGAGACTTTTTCCAGTTCACAGTAAGAGACCCTAGGATTTTGTATGTTGTTTTGGGAACTTTGAAGGCATCTTTCCACATGGCATTCTGGGCTTCAAAGGGCAATCCATATTGTGAGATGGGGGTGTTAAAGAAGGAAGAAAAGGCAAGCGAGAGATGTTTTACTCATTAACTGGTCTGTGAGCAAAAATACTTCGTTTCATGGAAGAATTTTTTTTCCAACCTGACAGGATAATTGCTTCTGAAATGCAAAGTTATTTTGGACCAACTCAGTTCTAAGTTGCAAAGACTGTAAGTGGCACACATTTTGCACATAAAACTAATGAAGATGGAGGGGAAAAAAAAAAAAGAATAATGTTTTCAAGTAATCAGAAGTTTTAGAGTAAGATGGTTTTTGAGGCTGCTGAACTACCACAGCAGAGAGGACTTCCTATTCAAGTTGAGAAAAGCCTGACTTCTAATCCAATCAATGCTTATAAAGGACATCTTGTGGACCCAAGTACCACTCAAATTCTATTGAAAAAAAACCCAACACACCAGCAACAAAGCAGCCAGGAGGACAGTGGGCAGAGAGAAACAGTATTGTTACACAATAAAGAAATGGCATCAGGAGAGAACACAATCGTCAATTATCAGTTTAGGAAGTCTGACACATCTTCTCCCCTGAGACTCTACTCATCTCTTGTACTTTAAGAGCAGAGTTATGTGATCTTTTCCTTCTGCTGGCACTTTCCCAATCTTTCTGGCCATACATGACCTCAGCATCCATACAACAGGTTGAGTATCATGAAATTAGCAGCATTATTGCTTCCAGTCTCCTCACCAATTTCCTCATGAGGACTCTCCACACGTATCTCCTCCAGAGCTGTGGCCCCACTGGTTTCATCCTGGCTTATGATTTTTTTCCATGGGCCATGTCCCAGCTTAGTGGAGGTAGTAATTAAAAATAAATATTTCCTTACCCTTGTCTGTGGGCTTTTTTGGAGTGACCTGAGTAGTGGGAGTATCCCGAATATGTTGATTCTGTATCCATTGCAGCAGACATTGGGTCTGCACGGAGGGGGCACAGATTTGACTTAGAAAATTAGTTCCTGGTGCTCCTGAGGTGGAGTCCGTGGTAAAAGTGCTTTTCTCGGTACTCTTTGCTTCCCAGTCATCAGTGAGGTTTGGTCCTCAGGGAACGAGTGAGCTTCATTTACAAGGAATCCGATCAGAGGGGAGGGAAGGGAGGGTGCTCAGCTCCTCACGATCGACCTAAGGAAAGACAAACGGGTGTGGAAGTGCATTCTAAGGAAAGACAAACGGGTGTGGAAGTGCATTCTAAGCAAAGCAAAACAGTATTCCTACTGCAGCAATTTCCTCACTCTGGCCACACGTCACTGCCCATCATACTGTGCCCCTCATCTCTTCACCTGTGTAATGCACATCCCAAATACCCCCAGATTCAGAACGGCACCACTGTAGTCTATATATAGAGGGACATAGTTTGGGGAGAGGGTGACTTTCCTGGGAGATATGCAGGAGAGGATCAGACCACCATGTCTGAACCTGCTTTGTTTTCACAACTGCAAGGTGTGCCCATTTTACAAGCATTAGTTACTATAGAATCAATGGCACTAAGAGCACCTCCCTTTCTTTGTAACCTTTGCCTCTAGAAGCTAATTAGGCCTTGAAGAATTGAATTTTATTAAAAATTATATCTATATATACACATACTAATAACACTGGGGAGAGTTGATTAGAGATCACACCTAGCTTATATGGGCCAACACCTCTTACAACGTACTTTCATTTGGAACAGAAGCTGAAGTCCCATCCATACAGGGCAGAAGAGGGTCATGGTTTTTGGAACAGGTGACATCAGAATAATTCTGAACGCTTACATGTCAAAAACCCTAAACCCTGTGGGGAAGAAAGGCAGCTGCCAAGGAGCTTTCCAAACCCACATCCTGCGTTAGGTGAGAAGAGGAACAGAAAAGAGGGGAGTTAGTCACCCGTTTGGGGAAATGCATGCAAATGGTGAAGAGGTGCAGATGGAGGGGTCACAGCTACAGACAGAGGGACCTTGGCACAGCCCAGCATTTGGCACAAAGGAGCACCCTCCCGTGCCTCCTGCCCAGATGACTGCTGCCTCCAGCCAACATCGGTGGAATGGAGGGCTATGGCCATGCTGTACTTTCAGAATGGGCAAAAAAATTGCTTGAAAATTAAATTTGATCCCTCTGTTATTTTCTGCTCACAGCAGTTTTCAAAGTTGTTAGCAATAAACCACTGCTTTCCACCCTCTCCCTCCCCAAACAGAGAGGGACAACAACAGAAATCAGGCTATATAGTTGGCCAACTATTCTTTCCAGCCCTAAGATTTCTCCACTAACACCTCCAGAAAAGCTCGTAAGCGAGCAGAGAGCTCTACCACATGCAAACCATGCCAAAAAATGAAGCCTCTTTCCCCATAGGGTTCCTTGGCTGGCGATGCAATCTGCAACGATGTTAACGAAGGGTTCCCACTGCATCGGGAGCTGCAGGTATTTGCACAATGCTTGGGCTTGCCAGGGCTCCTGGAAAGGAGAAGGTGGGGGAGACCTTTTGTGTACAGGAATTCCCAAGCTCTAAGGGCATATGGTGCCTCGAGAAAGCTCCTTAAACAGAGGGAGGACAAATAAGGACGGCAACGAAAGGCCTCGTTTTGGGAGGGGAGGAACGAGGATGGATTTAAACACAGCAAGACATAAAGCCAAGGCACGGCACAGTTTGGAAAACAGCATCATTACTGTAGCAAGAAGAAAAATCCCCCAGCCTGAGACACACGATGTTAGCACTCGTTAACTCCCTAGACTTGCACACAGCCTGTACGGTACGGCTCCAGCAATAGGCTGGGATTCATTAAACCTGCTTTTTACCTCTGAGCTGCTAGGCAGCCTTGGAAAAATCCTTTGTCTGTGTCTGTCCTTCTTTGATAAATGGGAGTGAGGCCACCACCCCTCCACCTTCAGAAAGTGCTATGATACCAATAGAGGAGATGGCTACCCAGGACCTCGCAAACATTAGGCATAACAAACCAGGAACACCCTCAGTTGTACAAAGGGTGACACCAAGTATTTATTGTAGGCTTAAACCACGGACTCTGATGTTCCCGGAGTCCCTTTGAGAACAACCACTACCTTCACAAATACATACCACCACATTACAGGAATAGGGAAAAGCTGCCAGCATACATCAGTAAGTTACACATTTTTCCTAGGCTTCTAGGGAAGTATGAACTCCTTGCCTTTTCCACATAACAGAATTTTCCCTGAGCTCCCAGACAGCAGAATCAGAGCTGAGACAAGGACTGGGAACAGAGTTCCTCTTCTGACCCCTCTCAGCCCCAGGAGCACAGAGTCCCACTTCTCTGGAGCAGCCAGAGAACGTTTCAGCAGGTAGAGGCTGCTGTGGAAATGCTCAGGCTGCCTAGACAGTTTGTGGTGCCTGTTTGACGTGGGAAGCAAGGCGATGCTGGGCACCAGGCAGAGAAAGCAGACTTATGGGAAGACTAACACAGGAACGTTGGGGCAGGCTGGATCATGCCAACTTTCGTTTTCTGTGTAAACAAGAGCAACGGTTTTGACACAGCTCTGAAAAGTCAACAAGAAGGCCCCCAAAAACGTTAAGCCTCTTGGATTTTTGTCAAAACCAATATGATGAACTTGGGGACTCTGCACCACCTCCTGGCCCTAGCTGCAGGACACACTGATGGCTAAATCAATCTTCCTGCCAAGGCAGTTACAGGGCTGCTGGGAATAAAACATATCTGCCTAACCTCAGCTGGAAAAAGGAAAAGACCACTGGCATATTGTCCGATGTCCAACTACGGCTGATGTTCAACAAGGCTTCCTGGATCTGGCCAACAAAGGATAGCCTGGGTTGCTAAAGTCACACCAGTCTCAGCAGGATGATATGAAGAAACCAAGGAGGGAGGAGCATAGTCCACACACACAATCCTCATAGCCAAGCCAAGCAAGTTACCTACCTCCTGGTCTATTTTACAGCAGGAAGGGGACTAGTCTTACCCCAGAAAAGCTTCTGGAACTGCTGCAGAAGAGGTAGGGGGGTGACCAAAAGAAAAAGAACATGCTAAACTATGTCTCTAGGTTGGAGCTCTTTCAAATGGCATAGACAGCAGTCAACCCTGCATTAGCCACCACCCCAATTGTGCCCACCACTAGATCCCAAGCAAAGCTAGAGAAGACAAGCTGTATGTGTGTCCTGCATGGCACAATCATATCTAAACTAAGCACAGTCTTCAAGTACTTCAACTACTAAATCACTATTAGTGATGATTCTTATCCTGCTCTCTTGGAAAGGACAACTGTACTGCATAAAGAAGCAGCCCAATCGTTTGGGGCCTCATCCTTCCACAAACAAGTGTGAATTAAGATCCCAATTTAGCCAGTTGAAACAACTTCACAAAAGATCGTTACATCTTGCAGGACACCACTGAAGCCATGGTCTGTTTGCAGAGCTTCTGGCCCTGTGTGAAAGAAAGCTCCTTCAGCCTGCGGGTACAGTTGCAGTGTATTTCGGCATGGACAAGAAAGCTTGTGTAAGTAGCTTCCACCTCCACACCACGGTTCACCACTCTCGGTTGTGTCAACACAATTCTCAGCGAGCAAACAGCACCGCTGGAAAACAAAACAACAAAAAAAACCCTTTTCTCCCCCTCGCCACGCTTTTGTCTAGGATCCTTTCTGTGACCTAGTTCACAGCACAGCCCCAAACAGTAAAACCAACACCAGGGTGAATAGCAGCGCAAGCAAAGAGCTGAGAGGGGAGATGGGAATTCCTCCTCCGCCCCAACCACGGCCATTGTGTAACTGCACACCCAGCACTTTGCTCCCGGTAGGGCTGGCACTCTCACTTTGCCTTTCCCTTACTCACTGATGACAGAAGGATACCAAGTACTCGATGGAAAACAATGCTAAGGATGCCCCAAAGGAAATTTTGGAACCCCATTCTGGCAAGAAGAATGGCCTCATCCTGCATGACAGCGGAAAAATGTAGTTACCCCCGAGTACCACAGAGATCACTGTAATTACAGTTTCTACGCAGCTACACAACTCATTGTAACTCCCTCTTTTCATACACTCATAAATCTCCAAAAAGATTTCTTTTGAATAGCTATTTTCCATGCTGGGAGCCCAATCCTATTTCCAATGAAGTTCGCTTTGTGATTGTCTTCAAGGGAGCACAATTTGGCTCCCAGCCCAAGGGAAATTTAGAAGAGCAAGTTACATCTTTAAATCAAAGAGGGCAAACGCAAACAAGAACGCTCTTTTACATCCCATGCTTTCCTGATGGATTTTCCCTTGTGAAGTCAAGGCAAATAACTCCAAAGCTGCTCAGCTTTGAAATCCTTGTCTGTATAGTTTCAATCTTACCCTGTTTAAAGCTTGCAATCAATTAAGAGTTGATTTACCAGTGGGTTCATGAAGTTACTTATATTTGGAAGTGCCATCTGGAGCACAAGCAGCCACAAGTGTCCGTGAGGATGTGCACACACTCAGCTCCGCACGCCGTCGGCCTCACTTGTTAAACAGCACCAGCTGTCTATAGGGTAACGGATGCCCACGAGCTATCGTGCTGAGAAATCTTCTTTGCTTCGTTTGGTGAAACCAAGAGCTTTACAAATTAAACACGCAGAACCCCTAGAGCTAAGCTATGGGATAGCTTTAGGGTTCAAGAGTAAAAGTAATTAAAAGATAGCTAGGCAGTGAGGAAGCCCAGTGTTAACGTGGCTGCAGCGTATTCCTATTATTCACTTCAGAAAAACGAGAAGTTACGCAACTCGCCAAGTTCAACAGCACACGTTGTAGGACCTGTGAGCAATGCCACAGGAACCTTTTGCTTCTGAGTTTCCCGAGGAAGCCTCAATCCAGCCATGTGATCTGTAAGCACAGGAGTTCACCCATGCTGATCTACTCACAGAGCCAAGGCATTTAGTTTTAATGGCCAATGAGCTTTGGGAAACAAGGTCTTTCTAAAAGCTTTCTATTTTTGCATGTCATTAAATAAGGTTAATCTTGGCCTTGAATACATGTATATATAAACGAGGGCTTTCACTCTACCGTGGTGGCTCTTGATTTGCAAGCCCCTCATCCTAAAAAAAATGTTTAGTAGTCAGCAAATTCAAGCCCTCAAGCAATAGGTTCTCTTTTCTTTTGCTTCTCAGAGGATTCCTAGAAAGATTTCATAGACCCCTGGGAATTTCCAGCCCCTA